TATATATATATATATATATTTATTTATTTATTTCCTTGCTATTTTTTCAAATTTTAAGTTAAAAAGGTATCTAAACTTGCAATTTTCAAAAAAATAGTAATAAATCGATATAGGTCAAAGTAAAGAAATTGTTCAATAAAAACATTTTTGAAAATCACTCATTTCAGTACTGCTATTGTTTTAATTTTTTGCTCTATAAATTGGTAATCGAATTAATTAATCTGTTCAATAATCAAAATTTATTTAAAAGTAAAAACTATTAGAATTTGAGTTAATTTTATTCAAAACCTTTTCATACTTCTTCCAGTTTTCAAAAAGCTGACTTAACGCTTCTCTATAAGTAACAGTCAATCCAAATAAAGCAATGATTAAATCTTCTAAAAATTTTTTTTTACTTCCAAAATTTACTGATTTATTTCAACTTCTTATATATAGATTATGTACAGTTGACTCAAAGAAAAAATTATCTTTTTAAATCAAAAAATTGAAATAATTTTTTGTATTAATAATGTAACTATTATTGCAGTGTGAAGTGATTCATAAAATTTTATCACATATCAAAAATAAATCAAAAGTGTAATCAAAGTAATGCAAGACAATCAAATATAGCATAGTGAACAGCCAAATTAATATTTACTTATAATTAAATAAATGATTAATTAAATAATTGAGCACTTTTATATTTGTAATTTGACTTGAACAAAATGATCTTGCTATTCTTGTGGTAAGTGCCATTACATTCAGTGTAACAAACTGTAAGCACTAAAAAGACAATTTAAAAAACATCATTTATGATTTAATTAATAAAAATTGTTTTAATAAACTTATAAACCAAATTTAATTATTTATTTTTGTCCAATAATATCTACGCTTTTTTATGCTTTTTTATTTTGTATTTCTTGCAAAAAGCAATTTAAAATACGAATTACTCAAATTTTTAAAATGATTTTATTAAAAAAAAAACAGTAAAATTATCAAACAATTAAGTAATAAATATTTTACTTTTACAGTGCTAAGAAAATTTCAGATTTTCAAACAAAATTTTTATTCAGTAATAGAAACACACAAAATATGCATTCTTTGAGCAAAAATTATATCATACAAAGAATATTTTAAAAATTAATCTTTGACATCAGAAAAAAAGTGCGCCCAAATTGATAATTTAATTTTAAATTTAAAAAAGCGCCAAAATGAAATCGCTCTTTAATCGAAAAGAATTATGGCTTCATGATCAAATTTTAATATTAAATCAAAAATATGCTAAGATTAATTTTTTAAAATAAATAAAAAAAATATATAAATAACATATTTAACTTCCAACACTTGGAGAAAATAGAACTAAATTATTTACTCCTGTAGAATTGAATGTTGGTGAATAAATAGATGGTGAAAAAAGTACTAAATTATTTTGAGATGGAGAAAATATAGCTGGTGATAATGCAAATGGACTTGCAACAATACCTCCATATGCTGTTGGTGCAAAAATTGCGGGATTAAGGGCAAAAGGACTCAAAATTGCCGGAGAGAGAAGTGCTGGACTCAGAACCCTTGGTGACAGAAAAGTTGGTGATAAAAAGACGGGTGATAATAATACTGGACTTAAGAATGAAGGTGAAAGTGCAGATGGTGATAAAAATACAGGTGCAAGTGCTTTTGGTGATAAAACTGATGGACTTAAAACGCTTGGTGATAAAAGTGTTGCAGTAAATAATTCAGGACTTAAAACAGTCAAGCCAAATACTGAAGGTGATAATAAAGTCAAAGATAATGCAGAAGGTGATAATACTGTAATATCATTTCCTGGATTTAGTATAGACGCAGTAAGAGCTGATGGTTGAAGAATTTGACGTTTGTAACGTATTTTAACAAGTGATTTTGACGTGGCTAAACCACGAATATCATGTATAATTCGATCGCGCATTTGATCTTCATTTAATGAGAGAAAAAATTCTAATGTTTTCATATTACTCATTGGAGACTTTGAGCCATAAACCATTGCAAGCTGATCACGTGTCATTAAGGAATATCCTGTTATTTTGAATTCTGCTAACTACAATAAATTACAACATTATTGAATTCTGACTTTATTTATTTCACGTTTTTAGATTATATAATTTAAATGATAAACTGACTAATGATAATTATACTTATAACTGATCGTACTGCATTTCTAGCTATTATTATAAATAATTATTCTAAATATAAAATTAGCGACAAATTTTATAAACATTTGTATAATTTATTAATATACTTATTTATGCAAGTTTTAATACAAACTTGTTTTGGCGTTAACGAAAGTGTTAAATTTTCAAATAGTTCAACTTTCTTGATCATTTTTGGATCGATTTCTGTTAAATTTTCTTTTAGAAAATATAACGGTTGACCATCAATTCCACGTCGCATAGATTTATAACCAGGTGGTAAACGATTATGTCCTTCATCACCCTAAGAATTTGCATGAACATGATATAATTTAATTTATTTTTTCTAATTTTTATTCTTGCATTTTTTGCACTAAAATTTTGTATTAAAATTTCACTCATATATATTCATTTTAATTTTTGCTTATTATTTATTTAAATTTAATACAAACTTTAATTTTGTCTATTGCATCGCTTACTCCTGATGCTTCTACAAACAAATTCAACCATTGTTCAAAATCTTTGCTTCCGGTTAATTTCAACAAATTTGGAATGCTTGTTAATCTTTCTAAGCCACTTCCTTTATCATGCATACTTAGTATTGAAGGAGATAATATTCTGATCTAAAATCAAAATTTATTATCAATTATGGTTTGAAAATTTCAATTTTTTGCATACACAAAGTGACAAATAATCAAAATTGATAAAAATTAGATAAAGCATTAAAATAAACTTGAATTTATTTTTGCATTCAAATTTGTTCACAACCTAAAATTCTGTTGCTTAGTAAATCTTACATCAATGCTTCATTTAAAGTTGTAAGATATGCAAATTTAATTTTTCTCAGTGTTTTACACTCTAGCTGAGAATAACCAACAATGGTTACTTTTTAACTGTTGTGTACATCATGCTACTTTTCACTAGTATAATATAATATAATATAATATAATATAATATAATATAATATAAT